ACATAATGACCTCTAAACTTTATACTTGACCGTTGCCCAAGCACCCAATCTCTTACACAATGCTCATATCATGTGTCTTGGATCGCTCGATGCTCTCTTTCTATTAACATGATAATAATCTAAACTTAAAGCACTATTTAATGTACATTGATTTACTTGCTAGCCATGTAATAAGTGGTATAATGTAACGTTAGTCAGTCATTATCATAAAATAAAAGTCTTCAAGATGACTAACTGTACATTATAACTTACCTAGAATCAAAGATCTTTTTTCTAATTTAATCGGGAAGACATCAATCAACACTGCAGCTATAATTCCCAAAACTCTCTTGACGTCACAACAACTCTTGTATTAGTTTTGACTATCACAAGCACAATTCAACCACTTTGCCTAAGAATCTATAACAATGTTTAAGACTTTCAGCTCCTGTACACAGGTTTAGTGCATCTATTGCCAAACAAGTGAACAGACAAATGGCCCCCCACTATATATCTGATGCACTTCCCCAGCAATACTTTGAAAGTGCATTTGTAAGGCTCGGTCTACTGATCCTCTGAGGACTCGATGCAGATAGCTCAAAGGCAAGTCTACTTCTGGTATCAACAAACATACTTCTATCATCAGAGAAAGAGAAGAAGAAAGTGATTCGCACCTTGAGCTGTGTGTGCGCGTGTTTGTGTGCGTGACTGGCAGGCATGTCTATGCTTGCTGCTTAGCGATCTGATCAGCACTAGACTGAGCTCCAAGAGGCTCCGCTTTCAACACAATACAGTTGTGCCTGTCTTTACTTTAGTGAGATGCCATTGAAGCATATCTACAAAGTACAGTGCAGTACATCATCTCAGAGAAGAAGAATCAGACAAGGAGTAAAGGTAGGGTGTCTATTGGCTTGCTCTTAATAGATAACCATATAAAATACAAGGTTTTCTGAACAGTCACACAAGACTGGCCCGCCTTTGTAAATGTCATAAAAGCAGAACATTTTCTTTCCTATCCTGTGTGTGCTGTATTTGACTGCCTCCATTTTTTTTTATCTGGATTGTTAGTCGCACTTCTTTGTTCCATAATTTTTGTCTTCTTTTCTTGCTCTTTCATTCTCTCTCTCTCTCTTCATCCTTCTCTCTTTCCCTACTGGGCACCCTGCCTAGAGTCAACCGTTCCCCATCTGCCATGAGTGGCATAGAGCAGCCAGGAGGAGTATAGATGTTGGCATGTGAAGTTAAGAATTTATGGAGAACAGGGGGGGCGAGAGAGAATGAGAAACAAAGAGAGAGGCACGATGATTCAACACAGCCAAAATTTGTTCTCCAAAGCAGCACAAAATATCTACAATGATGTGGTACTTTAGTAAAACATCATCCCCTCCATAGGTGGCAGACATTCTCAAGATGAGTCAGTCAGCATGGTAAAGAAGAGAGGTGTTTGCTATCAGGAGGTTTTAAATGGGTCAATGATGTGAACCATTTTTTTGCCCTATTCTCTCTCTATCTCTTACCTGTTATGGGAGTCAATGACGAATGAAAAATCTTGTAAAAATGTGACTTAAAAAAAAAGTAAATAAAGTGTCGTGGTGTAGCCATAAGAGTAAAATATTTTCTTTATACTTTAAATACATGTGAAAATTGTATCATGTATAATTAATTTATTTTTGTTTATCAATTATTAATTCATAAATTTCATTATGTTTTGGGGATTTGCACCACATGGCATTTTAAAACCTGAAGTAGTTTTACCTTTTCATTAAAAGGTCAACTTATCTGACCTTATTCATACCTTATGAATTGCATTTAGTCTATTTTTAAAAAATATTAATAAATGGGTCAATGATGTGAACCATTTTTTTGCCCTATCTATTAATATTTTTTAAAATATTAATAGATAGGGCAAAAAATATTAATAGATAGGGCAAAAAAATGGTTCACATCATTGACCCATTTATTAATATTTTTTAAAAATAGACTAAATGCAATTCATAAGGTATGAATAAGGTCAGATAAGTTGACCTTTTAATGAAAAGGTAAAACTACTTCAGGTTTTAAAATGCCATGTGGTGCAAATCCCCAAAACATAATGAAATTTATGAATTAATAATTGATAAACAAAAATAAATTAATTATACATGATACAATTTTCACATGTATTTAAAGTATAAAGAAAATATTTTACTCTTATGGCTACACCACGACACTTTATTTACTTTTTTTTTAAGTCACATTTTTACAAGATTTTTCATTCGTCATTGACTCCCATAACAGGTAAGAGATAGAGAGAGAGGGATGGGTACAGAGAGAGGACATAAAGAGCACACTTACCACTGCTGAACTTCCTTCTCTGTGACTGCAGACAGAACAAGAATGAAGACAGTTAGAATTTGTCATTCTGCAGTGTATGAAAACTTTACATGCTAGTTTAGGCTGGTTTGTGCTGGGTAATGCTGGTTTGGTGCTGGTCTGCTGAGAGTTGAACTGAAAATAAAGTTCCAAATCAATTTCTGACCTGAGGTAGTGAACAGAACACTGAAGTATAATTTGAATTTAATTAAGGAAGTAGAAATAAAATGTGACTTATATTCTAAAAAAAAATGTATATAAATAAAATGAATGCAATTTTAACAAGAAAATGAAAGTTTGTAAAGTAAAACTTTAAATGATGGTTTGGCATAGTGCTATTTGAAGGTTTAAAAAAAATCTTGAGGTTATATATTATATATATATATCAGAATTTATTTGAAATAGATTATAACAATGTAAAAGTCTTTACTGTCACTTTTGCTCTATTTTATGCACCCTTGCTGAATAAACTTTTTTTTTTTTTAAGATGGAAAGACAGACAGATCAGGGAATGAGTGAATTATTGGTATTGCAATTCCAGTAGATAACCAACATCATATTGCTGCTGAGTAGCTGAATGGAGACTGGGAAACATGGAAACCTGACAGGAGAACTGCTGTAGCTGTCTCTCACAGCTTAGAGGCAGACTGCCATGTCAACACAGCTAACATCAGGCCTGTCACTACACTGTCACTACATTTGACAGCCTCTGAGCCATTGCAGAGAGAGGTTTTTCCACAAAGATTTATTCCTCATACATACACATGAGCAGACCCACACTTTAAGAACCAATGCTACAGTAGATGGACCTGTAAATGAAAATGCACAGTTACACATTATATGTATTCATTCAGGACTTTTATCAAGTGAATTTAGATGCTATTTTGTACTAGCAGAATGTGTTTGGCCTTTTCTGAGATCTCGCTGTATCTAAAGAAACTTACATCATAAGTGCAGAGTTCTTATGTTTACATCTTTGAACAACATGTCTCGAGATGCCCTAATGTGATGATATATTGGAGGATGGTGCAGATGCAACACGTTTTCACTTTTTTTACCTGATATTCTCAATGTCATTGGCTCAGATGGTCATTGCGGTTTGTGTTCATTCAATGTTTACATCTTAACACTCTTGAGTACTTGTGCACACACACACACACACACACACACACACACACAGAAAAAGCTCTTTGTCTGGGGCAGGAGTGTAGTCATTTTCAAGGTCAGTGATGTGCATCCATGTGGAGCGAAAGGTAGAGCAGAGAAAAATAAATGGTGAAAGAGGATAAATTGTATGAAGATTTAAATATTTCTTGAAGAGAAATATGGATGAAGAGAAAGAGAATTGTTGAAACAGGGATATGTACAAACAGCTCTTAGACCTTGACAAAGAGAGAGAGCACTAGCTGAATATGGAGCCAAATATTATAATAAAGGTAAAAAGGATTAAAATATTTACATAACTAAAGAGTAACAGAAACCCAGTTGTATAACAAAAAGCTGTCCGGACAGGGAGAAAAGAGGGCAGAGTGCACATGTTAACACAGGTGTGTCTCATCAGCGCATATGACCCAACATGACTCCATCTAAAACATTCTTCTCCATCTGCTACAACAAAGAACAAAAGAGGAAAATCCAAAACACTAGAAGAAAAACCTCCTTTAAAACTGAATAAATAAGTTAGTCAAGATACTCTCCACACAACAAACCCCAAAACATCTCATCTAATCTGTCTGTCACACTGCAGGGCACTTCTATTTATTCAACAATACCACTCCACCTCACTGTCAGCTATCGTGGACCGTGGCAGCAAATTAAGACCAGCAAAAGAGCAAGGCAAGAGCAAAAGACAGAGACAAACTAAAAATAATGAACAATCCACTGCCTTGGGAGCCAATGCAGTGTCAGAGCCTTTTATATGGCTTTATAACTCAAGTTATATGGCTTTATAACTCAAGTTATATGGATTTATAACTCAAATAAGTGGAAGACGCACTAGCATGTAAGGTACTGACACAAAAGCATTTTTGTCCATATATACCTTCAACAGAGCCATAAACAAAACATTAACTTATTAAATTAAATGATCATTCTGCTAACTACCCAGACCCTTACGGTAAACCAACACATGCATCTTTTTGTAATAATAGTTCACAATATTCTGGTTTTTACTGTATTTCTCTTTAAATATTTGTTTGATCTTACCACTTACAACAGGAGGTGAAAATTAGGCAAATTAATGACTAATGAAAGTATTCCTACTCCTAGGAAAATGCACAAATGTAAGACAACAACAAAAAATTCAATCTTCTGTTCATCTTCAGCTTCTGTTCATGGGCATTTTTCCACTTTCCTGTGCACTGGAAGTTCTCTGAAGATGACAGCTCCACCTGCAGTCACCCATAAAAATAACAAACAAACAAAAATCTGACAACTTTTGCTACAGCTTACAAACTGCTACAAGCCCACAAGGGGACCCAAACAGTAGCAGGCAGTAAAACAGGCCAACTTACAAAATCTCATGAACACCATGCCTATAAACACCTGGAACATAAAACAAATGGCAGTACTCTCCTCGATGCACCAACAAGAATGACGACACAGCTTCCTAACAAAAGATTGCACAAGGTCTAAGGGGTTTCATCAGAGATCTCAGTGCCATTGGGCTTGCATACTATAGTCCCAACGTTTGTGACTACATTGAGTAATATGCACTGAAAAGTACTCAGTACTCAAGTCGATTTATCAATAGAAACACCTCATGAAACTACAGCTAACTGCAGTGCATAGCTGATTACATGAATCAGAAGGCATCCCCTGCCAGGCTGCCTGGGTGGGCCACATTCTGTGAAGCAGACTCTGGGTAAATCTCCCTCCACATCACGCCTGCTGTATTGCCTCTACCCTGGGCCACCCACTGTGATATTTGATTAAGCCTATTTGTGGACATAAACCTGATGTGAAGGCAGGGAAGGAGACAGGGCTATACTGGAGACTTCAGTCCAGCTGACAGACCTGGTTGCCATCACTGCCGGTGAGTTATCCTGTCTATCTCTTTCCGGATCTCCAGATGTCTTCTCTTGACTCACAAACATACACGCACCTATATGCATGTGTACACAAACAAGGTACAGCGATCACAGCATGAGGCAATGAAGGAATAAAATTGTCTTTATCCAACAGATATGTCAGATGTGCCTCTAAAGGCCTGTTCACACCGCAACAAGTGTTTGGCACGAAAAATTGGTACGATTTAGCAAAACAGTCAGTTTTTGAGTGCCACCAAATCATGGTTTTATGCAACAGCAGTGGCACTGGGCATGTGACAAAAACCACAAATCTTACTGGTTGGCCAATTTTCTTTGCAGTGCAATGGAAAAGCAATCATAACCCTCTTTGTGAAAAACAAAATTGCACATTGATGACATGCGTATGTTTGTGCTGGTCTAAACCAGGGTTGTCCAATCTAACTGCTTGCCAATTTCACTTGGATGAAATGAAACATTCAGCACATTTTCCACTTGTTCTTAAAATCCCAAATACTTAAAATGAATAAATCAGCCTATGTAACATATGTAATACTTTAATAATTGACTTAAGAAATACAGTTCTTTATTTATAAAAAATAAACAAATATTTTCTGTGAAATTCAATAATTAAGTTAATTCTGTAAAAGTAGTTATACCATTATAATCTTGCCTGCTGAAAAAAAAACAATAGAACCCCTCGCAAAACACAAAAAAAATAATGGATTTCAGGGTTATAATGGGAATTGTATTGGTTTTAATGTAAACTATAATGGTGTCTATTTGATGGATTCTATTGGTGGGATATAATCTGGCAGATGGCAACCAATAGAACAACAGTAATTCCTATTGGAATAATGCCCAAAACAAAAAGGAATTTTGTAATGGTTTAATGGAAACTATAAGAATTTCTGTGATAGTTTCTATTGTTTTTTTCAGCAGGGTAATGATACCCATACTGTGCTGCACATTATTGGCAATATTGAGCTGAAGCTTGACTTTGCAAATTTAAAATCGCAAATCAAATCGCAATCGCAATATCTGTCAAAAAAATCGCAATTTGATATTTTCCCCCAAATCGCACAGCCCTAATTTCTAGTGGCTGTCGCCCCCATAACCTCATTCATGATTCCCTACATTAGTCCACTAATATAGTCCAGTTGAAGGAGTGAATGAAAATGAGTGAGCGAATTTGGACCTGAGAGCGCCGTAAGGGCTGCCACTTTTGCAAAGCTTGTGCTTGCTGTTTAATAATCATTTGAAACTTAGCAAACTGCCAGCTCCAGTAAAGAAAAGATTTATCTTGAACTCTTTTGTGGAAACTAGCATGTATAAACCTTAATGAAACTATTTAATAATCAATTAAAAAGAAATTAATACCTGTATGATATTTCTCTGTACCCACATTGGACAAGCAATTTGGAAAACTGATGGATGATTAAGCTGCAGGCACCATCTTCTGGTGAGATATTTGAATTCATTCGGCATGACCCTCACAGTGCATTACGGGCATTGAGTGTACATCAGTTGTATGCTCGTTACTGAAGTGTGTTATGGGATAGAATGAGTGCGCTCGATAATGTCCAACACTACAAATGGCTGTCCCTCCAAATAGTGCCCTATTTAAGGATATAGGCCAGTGAATGAAGTGAAGACGTTGATTAGCTATCAAAGTACCGCGAGAGCCAGGGGCGCGGGGAGATGTTTTCGGTTGGGGGTGCTGTGTGTGTCTGTGTTGGGTGAAAGGGGCGGCTGGTTCACTTACGTCGGTGCTCGTGCTGGGGCTGGTGTTGTTTGGATGCCAATTTTGGAAAGTTTTTGCTGGGATGGGCATTTAAAAAAATCTTAAATTCGCTTTTGCGCCATTATCTCCTTGTATTAAAGTTAATCTTGTTCGCATTCTGTATAGTTCATGTCTGATACCACGTGCTAGCGTCACGTGTTCATGAGGATTAGGCTAATCATCCCATATAGAAAACATCACAGGTAAAATTAATCATGTTTATAAAGATAAACATGGGTTTATTATAGCCCACTTACAATTTACATTTCAGAGATCATTACAAATAAATTATTAAATGCTAAAACTGAATAAATTTAAATGAACAAACTTGGCATTGCATTTGCAACCATGTGAAAACGGGGTGCTGCAGCCCCCTCAGCACCCCTACTTCCCGCGTCCCTGGCGGGAGCCGTCTGCTCTCTATAGCTCTCACGGTACTTCGATGTCACCAATTGTTCTGCGCAGTGTAAGCAAAGCCAAAAACTGGATATTTTAGGCAATATACAAATCCTGGCCAGGACGTGTCTAGGAAAAATGTTACATATGGTCACCCTAGTTTAATATGGTTTCATTCAAATTAAAATATTTATTGCACTGAAAAGTTGTTGTGTTGTGAACAGGCTTTAATGCAATAAAAATTAATGGGACAACATGCACCCTCTCTGTGGAAAGTATCTGAATCAGTGGCTCAGATAGAAGTCAATAACTATAGTCCAATGAAAACACAATGCTTGATAATTTGCAGAGCAGACAGAAATACTTCTTATTAATCTGCAGTCTAGCAGGGAAGGAAATGTATCATCCTACTTCTGCTTATTTAAACAGTGGAAGATATACTCACACTCTTTACCGGATACAGCTCATCATCATGGTGACCATAAAAGATAAACTAGAACAGAACAGAGTGTGTGAACTGACAACAAAAACAATCTGAGTAAAATATTATGATATTACAGACAGCTTGTGGATGTGTTAGGCTAAACAGACAGCTGTCTGTCTGCAACTAGACAAGTGAATCAATCTAAAGAAATCAAAGGTTACATTTCTGGATGAGAGAAGGGGCAGAAGATGAACATAGCTGATGTGAAACCAGTGATAATGACACAAAGATTGAGAGGTGAGTGGAACAGACAGTGTAGACACTAGGCAAAGAAAACAAGAAGAGACAAGATGCAACCAGGCTGAAAGAGAAAAGACGAGAGAGGACTGGAGTGGAGAAAAACTGAAAAAGGATGTGGGAACAGAAGGAGAGGGAGAAAAGAGAGGTTACAATGCCTGTTAATGGTTGATTACAGATCGCTTGTTTGTTTTTGTGTGTGAATCCTGCAATTCAAGTATTTCAGTGCTTCATGCACTCTTAATTCTCTATATGTGACCCTGGAGCACAAAACCAGTCATAAGTCGCTGGGGTATATTTGTAGCAATAGCCAAAAATACATTGTATGGGTCAAAATTATTGATTTTTCTTTTATGCCAAAAATCATTAGGATATTAAGTAAAGATCATGTTCCATGAAGATATTTTATAGATTTCCTATTGTAAATATATTAAAACGTAATTTTTGATTAGTAATGTGCATTGCTAAGAACTTCATTTGGACAACTTTAAAGGCGATTTTCTCAATATTTAGATTTTTTTGCACCCTCAGATTCCAGATTTTCAAATAGTTGTACCTCGGCCAAATAGTCCTATCCTAACAAACCATACATCAATGGAAGGCTTATTTATTCAGCTTTCAGATGATGTATAAATCTCAATTTCGAAAAATTTACCCTTATGACTGGTTTTGTGGTCCAGGGTCACATATGTAAAAGAACTGGTATTTGTGTATGTGTAAGTACTCTCTGCAAAAAAGGCTTGTTCCATGATGTGTGTACACCATTTATTGTAATGACTAAAGGGCAAAGAGCTTTATCTATTCCTTAAAATCACAATGTAACGGAAGTAGCAGCAAAAAGGAAAAAAATATAGATCAGGGACTTGATTCTATTGATTGGTAGTTGATTGGATGGAGGAAGATAGTAAATGTGAGCTTGCATTCTATTGTAAGAAAGGGGCAAGAAGAAACATGTATTTTGCTAACAGGTCAGAGACAACTGTTGTGACCACAGCCAGCTCACAGCATAGAAAGAAGAAAGAGGGTTGAAATGGATCTCAGTTAGACCAGAGCACTTTCAAGCAATCTCTCTTAGTAAAAAACCTAACCAATGTTTTAAAAAACAACATCTTCAGCTCACTTATGTGACTAGTGCATCAAAACACTTGCTGTCTGAATAGTGACTGACATGAGTCTTTGATGTTTGGCTTCTATAGCAGACATCGTCTCATTGAAAGCCTGTTGGATTTGTGCACTGCTCACACACTGATCTAACCCTGCAGCGAAGGAGCAGGAAATTATTTCCTGATAGCCCTGCTTTACCCCCCACTGTGCACAAACATGAACGGTTCACCACCATTCGGAATGTGCTTACATTCCATTAAAGTTTAAAGAAGAAAATAGTAACCAAGTTACCTATACGTAGCAGGTGGATCTTTGATAATGTCCTAGAGAACTGATACATTAAATGGTAGGCCTAGAGAGTCATTAATTTCTTTAGCACCATAGTTTCATACTAACTGCTGAACAGAGAAGTAACTAAAGTAGCAAGAAGAAAAAAAAAAAGTATGCTATTAATTGTTGCAAATCTAAAATTAAAATTCTGTCACCGTTTACTCATACTCATGTTGTGCCAAATCTGTATGCTTTTCTTTCTTCTGAAGACCACAAAAAAAGATATTTTAAAAATATTGGTAACCAAACAGTTACTATCGACCAAAAAAAAATCTACCTACTACAATCTACTACACTTTGCTGCAACGCTGCAAAGCATGCAACTGAAACTTGTATTCTTTGTATTGAGCCAAGAGGTCAATCTGTTACATTTAGATCCTCTACTGGTCAAACGTCTTTGTGATATGGAACTCACAGGTCAGAGGTTACCAAACTTGAACTTTGGTATGTTGCTTAAAGTTGCAGTCACAAAAGACATCAAGCTTCACTGACTTCCATTCGTACAAGTTCAAGGCTGAATGGCTAAATTTAAAGAACACAAACTTCGAAAGCTGCAAGTTTGAGAGAAAGTGGAGATGGTATATTTTCACATTTTAAATGTATTATTGGACTTTTTTATTAAAAACTTAAGCCCTAGAGCACAAAATTATTTCCTATTTACTGCATATTCTGAAGGGAAAAAAAAGGACACTGTCTGAATGCAACAAATAATGTAACCTCTTTGCATGTGCTTGTGTTTCCACTCTCCTGTGTTTGTGTGTATGAATGTAAATGGATTAAACACAAAGTCTAGTGTGGCCCTTGCCTTACACTAAACAAAACATAAACAGTTGTTGCTAATCTAGTATGTAGACATAGGTATATCATAATTGTGATGCTGCTCTACTTTTCCCTCTAAAATTTGCTTCACCTATGTCACACTTGGATTAATATGCAGCATTAGCGAGGTCTCAAGTCCTCATCTAAATCAAGTCAAACCCAGTTGATGTGATAATGATAATGCTAATATGCGTTCTCCACCTCAGGGAAGGATTGTTGCAACACAATTTGCAGTTAGCCCCACATCTTATTGACTCGACATGAGAGTTGCTGCCAGCTGTTCATGAAGGCCCCATATCTTCTCACAACATAGATGCAAGCCAGTCAAAACACGTTTAAAGATTATATGATTAGTGACGGAGGACAATCGACCCCAGAGACGAAATGATGATCACATTCAATACAAAGGTACATGAACAAAATCGCTCATACGCAGGCAGGTATAGGGCGCGCGCACACACACACACACACACGCACACACACACACAATCAATAGTGCAGTATAACAGCTTGGTTACATTAAGCTTATTCTTCAGTCAAATGCAACTTTATGAAATCCACCAATACTTAATTTAGAAAAGACAATTTTAAAGTAAATACTATAGTGGGCTTGTTTCCACTTAAATTTAGAGAAAGAAAAAGGGAGAATAATAATTAGATATAACATGCAATTAACCAGCACAAAATGGCACTAGACATGGAAGAAAGGACTAAAGATGAATACTCACAGTAGGTCTTTCTGCACAGCTCTTCCACTACCTCAGGCTTTAGTTTGCTGTTGGATTTGCCCATCTCTCCAGCTGGCCGCAACGGTTTATCCCACTCCCTAATGCACTCCCCCCAATCCCACCTTCCACTTACATTTAAAGAAAGAGAGAGAAAGAAGGACTGAGGGAGAACGAGGCGGCAGCACAAGAGACGCACAAGCCCTTTTGAATCGTGCCCTGCCTTTCCTCCAAACCGCAGCAGTGTAAAAGCAGAGGAGGAAGGACAAGTAATTGAGAGGAGCAAATTACACAGAAGCAATGTTATTACAGCATGCAGTGCCTAGAGTTGTCTCTCTTCACTCAGAGGGAATGAAAGAGAGAGAGAAACAGAGAGGGCTTTAATCTGTTAACCGGTGACACTCCTCCAGTCCTGCCAGTGTCTGCGGTTCCCTTGTGGAATCAGTGGCTCTGAGCAGCGCTCGAGCCCAGGAGAGGCACTCTTCAACTGGGTGCTCACTGCTGTCTGGCTCGGTCCACTGGAAGAGGAATCGATTCACTGACTGACTCAGACATGCATACGCATTCGCTGGCTCTCTCTGTGAGCTTGTGTGTGTGTGTGTGTGGGTGTGGGTGGGTGTTGTCACCACGCTATGTGTTGATGCTGTTGTCCTTGACAACAGAAGCCACTCCCCCAGTGCTCTCGCTCCTACTGTTTCCCTAAATATGTCCATGACAAAGACTTTCTGGCTTTTCATTGCTAATTTCATTAAAATGTGCTTACTAAAATCTAATGTGATAGAAAGACCTGTATTACATTTGACAAATATAAAATGTGTATACACACATATACATACATTCATTATTTGTATGTTTTTAAATGAATTAAATTGATCAAATTAAATCAATTTAATCAGTTAAAAAGTATGAACACAGTTTATATGGCTAGTGTTGTAACAAGCAAGATTCTGTTAAAATCCACAAGATTTATAAACAATAACATTTATTGTGATGATAAATACATAAACCTGGTCATTGTGTATTAAACCCTTTGAGGTTATTAGTACTATTACATGAATATCTTTCTACATGTTTAATTTATGTTTGACTCACTAAATATGCATCACATTAGTTTTTTCATTTGTTATCTATGTAATCCAAATGGATGGAAATGTTAATAAAAATTAAAATACATACTATATTATATTAAAGTAAAAATATCTAAATATTAGGCCTAAATATTGTACATACATACAATACATAGTGTACGTACATTATCATAAATGTTTTTTCTTATATTTTTCAGCAATTAAATATAATTTCAAATTATGTATCTATAACTTAAGGCAAAGGCTAAAACATTTAAGGACTTAATATAAATTGATATTCACCTACATTCATAAGAATAATCCCAAAATAGGATTATAGTTGGGATTATAGTGCAGCTGTACAGAGTAATGGCTCGTAGTCTTGTCATATTCTGATGAAGCCACGGCTATAATCTGCTGGCCCAGTTTAAATCCAGGCCAATTCACTCCTCAGGGTAAGTTTAGTTTGTGCAGAGCTGTTCAAGCATCAGAAAGAGAGAAAGGCAAATATTTGATGAAGAAGTCTAATGAAGAAGGCAGAAACAGAAGAAGGGGACCCTGAGTCAGCTTCATGCAGCTCCATAAACACCCAGAGGCCTTTGCCAACAGCTTCACCTGCTAGAGCACTTTCTGAACTATAGTGTAGTGTAGACATCTTATACCATTTAGTAGTAGAACTATCTTGTAGATTTTAAAAGTAGGCTGTAGTCAGTTAAATTTGTAATTGTCCGACTGCAACCCAAGATACTTTTTTTCTCAACAATTCTGTGATGACTGATTATTGTTACTTTATCATTTAGAATAAAACAGAATTGTACCATAGTAATACAACATTTGTTTTTTGACATGCAGCATGGTACACATCAAAAAACCACAGTATTACCATTGGATACCCTGATGGTACATACCAGTACCATTTCTTAGAGCAAACTATGAACTACACTGATATTGTAAAGCAGCACAGTAGTCTCTGAGACATATTGCGATTAATTTAGTTCCATTAGAGCACGAATAGCAATGTTCTAAAACAGGATAATTCTGGAAAACAAACAACACAGCCAAAAATCATTTGAAAGGTGGAAGAGGCTTATAGAGGGCTATAAATGGCATCTAAGCAAAGAGGGAGAAAATGAATCGATTTTCAGATTGACTTATGGGGTATTGCACAGCAGGAGAACAGACTGGAAAGTAGCCAGGAGTTGAAAGACACTTTTGAGTATTTTGCAAACGTCAGGCAGAACAAAGAAAGTATTTCTCTCATCATAAAATGACATGTTGTGCAAAGCATTTGGCTTGGCAAGCAGCACCACTTTCTAAAATGATGGAAGCTATATTTGGTAACATTAATACAAGACATCTACTGTAGTCTCTCAAGAGAATTTTATGTTAGATGCTTTCCTTTTAACTAAAGGTTACACAAGCTTTTTCTACTAAAAAGTTTCCTTGGCCAAGAATACAATGGATTAGTGGAGTATTCAATCTGCGTCCGCACCTCTGAAAACGTTTCTCTCTCAGAAAATGAGACCACAGACCACCTACAATATACCACTCAGCTAAACCAAACATTTTAGTGGGAGGATACATGTTACATTAACGTAGAAGTTATTTAGGATTACTTTTAAAGACTTCCTTTCTTGTGATTTGTTCTTGAACAAATTCAGTGCAAACAGCCAATTTAAAAACAGGCATGTGTCAGATATTTCATCTCAGAGATATTTAGTGAGCTTGCCACTTTCCAAACTTTCTGACTGTGATAATGCTTTTAATAAACAAGTTTAACTAACAGTTAATTAGCAGTTTAATAAACAAGAAATTAATATTGCACAACTTACATTGTAGACACATTTTGCTCCAAAAAGAGTTCCAAATAAAGCCAAAGCAGAAGCAACTGCCCATAATTTCATGGGGTGTGTCATAACACATTTGGACACCACTTGCAGCAATGGGGAAGCATTAAGATAAGGTAGTGGCTAACATGAATGGAATCTAAAGCCCAAAGTATAATTCAGATATTTACACGTATAGCGTATGAGTACAGTCGAATGCACAGCCTTTCAAAGTATACTCCATTTGATGGAGTGCGCGAACGCAGGCGGTCGACACATGCGCTCAAGAAAGCTTCACCTTTGTCCAACGTCTGCTCTGTTTGTCTCCAGAAGTTATGAACGATAAAAATGTCCTTGTACTCTTTTAAACTAGAGTTTTTTAACAACTCTTTTAAATCTCATTACCCTCTCACACAAGTGCTTGTCAATGCGGCCGTCTGTTGTTGTTGCAGTCTCTGCTATTTTGATGTTGTTGTTCTTCTTCTTCTTGTTTTATGGCGAATAACTCCTTAGGAGCATTATCGCCACCTATTTTGATGTTGTTTTGTCTCTTTAGTTGTTTTCTACCGTACAACAACGGCCCGGGCCGTATTGCCACCTTGTGGAACAATAGATTGGTGCAAAACCAAGTCAATGCGACCTGCGCGTACGCGTAAAAACCAAAGTGTAGGCTACCTTGGCCTTATATATGATAAATAAGATAAAGTTTTATTTGTATTATGCTTTTTATTGATTGTATTTACAATTAAACATTCATTTTAATATTTAAAAGAAAAAAATATCCCAGTTTGCCACTTAATTCTGGAAAATTGTGATGAGGGGTCCGTCCAGGTGTATTTAAATAAGCTTAGATAGAATCTATCTATCTATCTATCTATCTATAGTGCAGACACAAAATAATCAAAGGTAAAATATCATTGCATAGTCTTCACTGTATAAATTAAATATAGATTAATTATTGTTAAAACTACAAAGTAATTCAGTCAAGAGCAGTGAGTGATTTTCTCTCTTTTATTTTCTTGGATTAACATTAGGGACACCGACAGCAGCTAGTTAGGTGCAGTCACTTTAAGAGACAATTCATCTGTTTTCTTAGATACTTGCCAAGACAGGTATGTATTTGTCCGTTCAAGCACAAGAAGAGGAAAAACTCAATTCGGTGTTCAAGGGCTGTACGTGAGACGCAGCTCAGTACACAGCACACGGGTGCTGGATTAAGCTCTTTCGTGTCTTTTTGTGCTTGAATGTTTAAATTGATGAGGTGTATTTGTTCGTTCAATTAAGAAGACGCAAAGGAGAATTAAATTCGGTGTTCGAGCGTCTGAGACGCGGCTCTCTGTGTGTGCACCGTGTGCGTTCCTTTTCATTTTGCTAATGGAAAAAAAGAAAAGAATATTAATAGCTTCTTCCTAGACACTGGATTTTAAACAACCCTCAAATAATTTCTCCTGCCTATGCTATTGCACATACAGTTTTAGCCAGCAACTAATCTTTAACCCCAATCACCCTGGGCATTAAATACTGTCAACCTGGGTCAACTGCTATCTAATCCTGCTTTTAGTCACTCACTTTTACACCATGTGCTACTATCACCACCATAAAGCTGGCTAACCCCTGACCTCCTATAGTGGTAATGTAAATACTGTGCAGTTAGCCTTTTAAGATGATAACCACAGCTTCAAATTGAGTAATTTAGCTTTAAATAGTAAGTACACGTTATTTTAATAATACAAACCTTTAATCAAGCAAGAAAAGAATAAAACAAAAATACATCACACAGTATAAACATAATGAACAAATGTTAACTACAATAATAACTAAAACTTGTTAATCACCACACTGTTTTGTTATAAATAGACCATGATCCAAGTGACCTAAGGTTCTCTAATCAAGATTGACAATGAATATGAAGTAATCAAGTAGCACATAATCACAGTTCTTCTGGTAATTGATTATTACTGATTCCAAGCAAAGGACCAAATTTGCAAGACAGAACATCCAATGCATGTGAACGTTTTGTGCTTTACTACCTCTCTTCCAAACTACATTACTGAAGCTTGCATCTGTCCCCATTATTATTATTAAGGGATAATGGATAGGAAATAAAATTAAAATTGAACGATTTTTCTCTTGCTTTATTTTCTAAGCAGACACAAGGGGAATAGAATTAGCATTTGCAATTCTCCTATCCTCAGCAGCCAAAGCTCTTCATTAGTTCCCCTTGACATTTTGTCAACATCAGATGCTCTTAATAGCACTTGAGCAGAAGTGAGGAGACTTGTGAATAAATTATAAGCGAGCCGTTTGCTTTAGTGCTGTCAAATGTTTACTGTGTCCAAGCATGACAAGATACTGCTTTAGCATTACAGTGTTTGTTACGATCACTTCATGAAGAGGTGTGGAAACTTTTGTCCTAATGTAATACCAGTCCTCTTTTGTGCATTCCATATGTTAAAAAACAAAATCTCGATGTACACAAAATGCTTAAAAACGCCGATACAAATTTCAGGGTTGATTTCTGATTGATTCTTTATCATATAGATTATCAACATGTGATTTCACATGATATATACACACTTCTAACAAAATATAAAAGACAAATACAAATGAAACCATTGCACAATTTAATACTGAAACACAATTTCATAAAGCTTGCTCAAAAGATATCTGAAAATAAGCAAAATATTAAACATCAAAATAAAATCCTTCATTGCATTACCAGCAACCATAAATTACAAGATCCCTGAAATCATTTTAATCCATGTTTAATATATGTGAAATACATGTTTCTGGACACCCTGGATCTATTTCATGAAAGTCCATCTTCATCCATATTTAACAACCCACAAATACTGATAAAATACAAAGCTGCTGTCATCAAATCTAACCAAGCTTGAGAACTGTACATTTTATTTTTTGTAACATTAATCTGGGTTATGTATGTTTTAAGGGCCTGCATATTTACATAAAAATGATTCATTCTGAGAAGTCAGAGCAGGAAATAATCACTTAAATAATAGCTGAAAGAGACGTCACTGGCACAGCAGTTTTCTACACATCGCAGTGACCTCACATAGGCTTTCTCTTGACTAGAGTGTACCTGTTAAAGTGCCACAGAGTTTCTAAGATCAAGAAATGCGTAGGAAGGTCATAAATTAAAAACAACCAAATAAAAAAAGAAAAAACCCACACACAATAAAGGTAAAATGAAAAAGCACGGCGCCAAGCACATCAATTAAAACTACAGTGGCAAAAGGAATCATGGAGTGAAGTAATGTGAATTCTCCATACTGTCTGTGCAACATTTACAGAGATAGACATATATATGGATATAGAACGCGGTGTCTTCACATGTGATCATGAGAGAAGGTCCACTGGGAATTCTGCTCATAAAGCCATTAAGCTCTTCTTCAAGAATATCCCCCATGTCAGTAGCTGGCCACAAAGTCCAGAGGCACACAGAACCGGCAGAGAACCGTCATGCCATGCTCTCCCTCTCCTCTGATGGTCTGTTTGACAGTTTCTTCACTTTCTTAATGCCCTCTCCAATGGCTGTTGAGGTAGTTACCCTGAAATGAAAACAAAGAGCAACATTAACAACAAAAACAGGGTTAATTTGTCATTTGCAGGTTAACTTAAATACTCAACCACCAAACATTCAAGTGCTGAAATGGTTTCTGCAACAGATCTGGTTTTGCGCTTCTTGTAAATATCAGTGTGGACTTGAAAGAAGTTGAATCTTGGTCAATACTGTTGTTCTGAAATACCCAACTAAAAACAGGACCTCAGATCATTTCAGACTGTCCCAATTTTCTGAGGAAATCCCTTCAGCGATCTCATGCATGAAACTGTTGTTTAAATCATAAAAGACAGAATATGTTTCTTTAAACACAAAACAAAACAATCTTTCTCTTAATCTTTGTTTTCAAAGAAGATCTGAACCACTGTGCAACCATTTTCAAAACAAACATGTAATTAAACTTAAGTATTTACATTTTAGCATAAAGTACAAACCTAGTGTATATTGTACTTTTGAATCTTTTCCCGCTGGGCCACAAATATTTGAATCACCTAACCCAAAATCAAATTTGCATTCATTCTTTTCTGATTTTACAAAAACAGTGCCTTATTGATATTCAAGCATTTCCATTAAAATGTGACCATGAGTTCACTGGCTAAGCATTCTGCATTAGCGGTGAACATGGACAGAATGTTCTGAGCAGAATCTGAGATCAAGTGAGAGCGACACGCACGCATAAACTCTTGCTTTCATACTCTGCCCTTCTCTTCCCAATAATTATTTAAGCACAGATTGGACTGCATATGGCCACACTAGTACCAGCAAACTGTTCACCGCTCAGATGCACCACTCATCTACAGCATGAGGACCTACTGTTGTTGAAGCAACATGATATTTACTCATTTGAGGTCCATTTGAATTCAGATCAAATGTATATTAAAGGAGGAGAAAAACATTGGATGAACACAATGTACTAGAGTGAAATTAGGTGCAAACTTCAGTGAGTTGTGAGATACAGTGGAGCAAAATAACATTTTTCAGCAATTTAAATGCAATACATAACTACTGCTACAGAACAGAATCACAGCAGAGATCAGTTTCAAGTAATTGTGAAGACATTCACCACACGTCCAGAGACCACAGCACCAGTCCAGTTCCCTTCCGAGCGCTCACTCTACATTGCGAAGCATTCGCAGTGGGAACTCCTCCCCTTCTCCGAAAAACCTGAAACCTTATAGGAGAATGCCAGCACAATAAACTGACCAATTGTCGCTAATTATGCAAATAGCATGCAAATACTGACAAGCCTGTGGGCAGTATATAATGTGTATATATATATATATATATAATGCCAGGGCCTGGCCCATGCTGAGGCGGTGTTCTCTGAATCCGACTGTGTGCACTGCGCTGACTTGCCAGCACGCGTTTTGAGTAGTGGTTCAATGGATCACAAATCTCACGGTTCGGATCACATTACGGTTTTTGACCCACGGATCGGATCATTTTTCGGATCAGCAAGAAAAGAAAAATATTTCAATTTAACTTGCTTTCCATTTATTACTTAAAGCGAAGTACTTCTTTGATACCACAGCAAATACTACTAGATTAACTAAGAAAGTTTAAACATGATTAAAGAGACAAGAGAACAGCCAGTAAAAATAAGAACAAATACACAAATTACAAGCATAGATAAATACAACAGAATATGTTACAAATAAAATAAGGGTGGTAGTATTCAAATACAGAAATTTTATAATTAGGGGAAATAACACTGCATAGTGTTCACTGTATAAATTAAATATAGATTTTTTATCACAGCTGTTTTGTTGTTCGATGATCATTAATGTCAAGCAGCAGTATTTATAGGCCGCAGTCCCTTTAAGACCTGATGCACGGATCCGATATGATACACATCACATCCGATTTCTTTCTCAGCTGTTTTCATTCACTTGAGACATAACTGACTGCTTTAACTGAATGATTGTCGAGATGGGTATTTTGTCATAATTTTATGTGTATGTGTCTGTTCAGAGGATTCAGAAGAGGATTCAGATCGGTGTTCGCGCGCCGTCTGAAACGCGTGTGCGCGCTTCATGTGCGTGCGGCTGTGCGCATAGACAACAGCGCGCGAGTAACGAATCGAGTTCCCTTTCGCCTTTTCTCTCTGGAATTGTTTAAAATTCGCTTGCTTGTGTAAATACGAACAAATGATAAACTTATACTCTATTATGGTAAAATTTTGAAATTAATCCGCAGATCACATGCATGCCGAACCGTGGGGCTTGGTCCGTATGGATCACGGATCAACTACGATCCGTTTAACCACTAGTTTTGAGGACTCGGAGGAACATTGCTCGTGGCCTTACGGGGATGAGGCCCACTGCTGCCAGCGAGCCGCTGGTGGGCCCTCCCCTCCATCGGAGCGACGGTGACGACTCGGTCTGGGGCCGTCATACTCTGCCATTGCAGTCCCTGGACCGCAGGATCTGTGCGTGGCGACAGACTTCGCGCTGATAGCGACAAAGCATTCTGCTCAAGTCATCGGTCGTTCCATGGGGTTCATGGTAGTCCTTCACAGGCACCTATGGCTGACCCTAGCTGACCTGAAGGACCCTGACTGTAAGGCGCTCCTCAACACTCCGATCACTCTCTCCGGCCTCTGCGGTGACGCCATGGAGTTGGTTATTGAGAGCTACTCTGAGGTAGAGGTCTTCACGGGTCCACTTGGATCTGAAAACCCGAGGTCCGACCTGAGACCCAAGCGGGTTCGGGTCCAAAACTTCAACGAGTACCTCGGACACGGGTCGGGTTCGGTATTAGCTGCCTCGGGTCTCGGGTAATTTAAAATAAACATGCTTTTCCCAAATGGACCCGATTAGACCCGAATTCTTTTAAACTATCCCGAATGCGTAGGTTACTTTCACTTTCATGTTAAGAGAGGAACGCACATAGAAAAGGATACATTTGTAATCCTCGCACACAGACATAAACTTATAGATATGAGATCCATCAGGAAAATCCACTCGCTTCATTATGCTGCGTGTTCATGCAGGGCGGTTTTTTATTTTTTGTGTGCAGAAGCCTTTCGCTGGAGATCAGGTTGCAGACAACAGCGAATCCATGATTAGGCTATCGATTTATTTTTTATCAAACTATCACGTTTATTTTTCAAATCCACTGGTCACAATTGAAAGCGGAGCTCAGAAATACCTTGTATCCATCAGGCAGGCACTAATATAAAGTAACCTAATAATACATTGAATAAATGTTAAATAAATCAAAGTAATGGAGAAGAGGCCAAATCAGTCAACAGAACACCGGGATTTTTCCTGACTGACTGTGGGGCTGCAGGCTGTACACGTCAATGCCGTTTATGTTCGGGTCCAGTGGGGTTCGAAAATAAATGCCGTCGGGTTGGGTCGGACTCGGGTCTAATTTCATCGGGTTTGTCTAGGGTCGGGTTTAAAAAAAAAAATAATTATGCATGTCGGGTTCAGGTAAGAAGTGATTCGGTCGGGTACAGATTTTAGGACCCAAGAAGACCTCTACTCTGAGGTGCAAAAGCGCGCAAAGGCGATGAGTCACCTCACGGACCTGCCAAGAGGAGGAGAGAGCTCGCTGGAGGCCCGGCCCCCAATCCTGCAATTATGTTCCCCTTGTTCCTGCAGGCGACAAATGCAATGTTCATGTTTCTGTTTGTTCAATAAAAACACAAATGTCCTCACAAAAAGAGCCGTTTCCTCCTCATCATATGGATACAGCGTTACTCGTTTTGCTTCAGAACAGCGCAGAGCCGCTGTCTGTGCCTGTTACGGCTTCCCAGTGTTTTCCTCGACAAGCTGTTTCCTCTCAAGCAGTTTAGCCTCGCCAGGGCAGGGCGCCTGTCTACGAACACTGCTGCCAGCGATAGCGACCGGAGAGATTCGGCACCTATGTCAGTTCCTAGATGTGTGGAGAGCTATTCCAGGCGTTTCGTGCTGGGTGCTGAGCATAATAGAACATGGGTATTCCCTCCTGTTCAGACGCAGACCTCCCCGTTTCAATGGCGTGGTTCAGTCACTGACGCTGCCTCAAAATGCCTGTTTTTCCCGTTCTCGCAAAAGGAGCGATAAAGTAAGTCCCTCTGAGTGAGCTGGAGAGCGGGTTTTACAGCCACTATTTTGTGGTACCAAAGAGACATGGGGGATGTCCGATTTTGGACCTGAGACCCATCAACAGAGCACTTCACAATGGCGCATTCAGGATGACGACTTTGAAGCAGATCCTGGCACAAATCCATCACGGGGACTGGTTTGCATCTGTAGATTTGAAAGATGCATACTTTCATATTCAGATAGCACAGCGCCACAAACGCTTTTGAGGTTTGCTTTCGAGGGCACAGCACAGCAGTGCTCCATGCTCCCATTCAGGCTGGCTGCTTCACCATCTGGAGGCCCTACGGCTGCGTGTGAATATGCAGAAGAGCACGTTCACCCCGAGTCAGTCTATAACATATCTGGGTGTGTGTTTCGACTCCACAACTCCGACTGTGAGTGAGCCCGCCTCTCTCAAGAGTGCATAACGACCATTTCATCAACTCTGCGCTGCTTCAGACCCGGACGGTCTGTTCCCTTGAGGGAAATTCAGAGGCTTTTGGGACTTATGGCATCGGCCTCATCCTGGGTCTTCTGCACATGCGGCCACTACAGTTGTGACTGAAAACTCGAATTCTGTGGAGAGCATGGACCACGGATCGTATGTACATTGTGGTCACACACAGCTGCGTCAGTGCTCTGAGACCGTGGTCGACCCAGAAATGTTCACCCGGTAGTTCCACTGGGACTGGTGACAGCACGCATTGTTGTTACGACAGATGTGTCGACCTCAGGCTGGAGAGCAGTGTGCGAAGGTGTACCAACTTCAGGCCTGTGGTCAGATTCACAGAGCAGGTCGCACATAAACAGCTTGGAACTGAAAGCGGTGTCCTTAGCCCTAGTGGCTTTTCTGCCGCAGCTGGAACAGCAACATGAGCTGATTCGCACCGACAATATGTCTGTGGATTTGTACATA